ATAGACTTAGCTCCTAATTGTTTTTTCTTGCAAAATATAAAAAAAAGGGCGACTGAGTCATTCAAAGAATATGCTCAAAGGTAGAGGGACATGGCTACTCAAGTGCAACCTCTTTTGACTAAAAAAGAGATCACTGTATTGTTTGTCAACACTTTAAAATCTCCTTATTATGAAAAAATGATAGGAAATGCCACAAAAAACTTCGTCGACATGGTGATCTCAAGTGAAATCATTGAGAATGCGATTAAAAATGGTAAGTTGAAAGGAGGAGAAACCAAGAAGGCACTTGGGAAGAACGAGACTGAAGCTTAAGCTGTAGGCTTTGATAGACAGTTTAGAGGATACCAACCTTATTGACAAAGTTATTCCCTACATTATCCTGTTATAAACAATACCTCATCCTACCCATATCAGTCAGCTCCATAACCATCTTACCTATTAACATGCCAGTCTGTTTTCAGCCCTCAAACTCCCATATACAACCTTAATATTCAACCTCTCATAAGGCCCCAAGCTTATCTTGCTAACACAACAAGTGGTTTATGATAGCAATGAATTACCTGAGAAAAACTTGTATTTGATCCAATCCCTATGACTTATACAGAGTTATATCGAGAGCTCTTTAATAGCCACTTAATTACTCTCAGCCGTGTGTAGCCGTTCAAGCCACCCTATCCTAAGTGGTATGATCCTACAGCTTATTGTGACTACCACTATGAAATTGCTGGCCATTCCACTAAAAATTACACTGCTGTAAAGCATAAGATGCAACGGTTAATCAAAGATAAAATGATAAGTTTTGATAAAAAAAGAGCAACAACACCTAATGTTAGTGGCAATCCATTGACAAATCATAATGTCAATGCTCTGAGTGAAAATCAAGAACATGTTAGTCAGAAAAAGCCTGAAAAATCACAATAAATTGAAGGGCAAGATGTCAGTAAAGATCCTTCACCTGATTGCATAAGGGCACAATTTTGGAGAATGAAGATAAGGCTGATTGGAAGTTTATTGTCATTTTAAGATTTCTTTTAGAGTAATATTAGGTTTCTTTTAGGCAGTAGGATTTCATTCGTTATCATATCAATAAAAGGTAATTTAATGCATTTCATTACATTTTTTATTTCATTCAACTACTATTTTATGCTTTGTCACCTTTCATAACTTTTGTTCTCATTCTTGAATTTCAAACGATGAATGTTTAGACAATTATAGCAATAATTTTGAGATTTAATTTTAAGAACTCATTTATATTGATTTAAAAAGATTATTTGAGCAAAAAAAGTCAGCTGCTAGTAGATGTGAAATTAATATGATTCGAAGAAGTGCAGTTTCTTATAAAAGAGTCATGGGCTTATTTTGTTCAATAGATGATGTTCAAAGAAAGCATTCACATTTGAGATGAAAAATGATCATTTTAAAAAAAAAAAAACCATTCATTGTTACCACTTTGAGCCTGTTATTTTTTTAAAAAAGAAAAAAACCCTACCCAAGGATCATCATTCACACTAGGAGGTAATTTTTGAAAAAAAAAGCTCAAAGATCACAAAAGATCTCAAAAAAAAAAAAAGAGAAAAAATGAATGCCATAACAAGTTGAGGTAAATTAATGAGAGTCTTTTTGTGAAGAATGAGATGAAAAAGAGAAAAATAGTGAAATAATGTAAAGTGAGGCAAAATGCCAAGCTGCATCAAGTGATGATCATTTAGTTTTAAACCCTTTAGATATATATATATATATATTGAGCCTATTTTATCTATTTCTTTCATGACCCCATACCATGGCCTACATTACAACCTTGAAAAGTCTATTTGGATCAAGTGTGAATGCTCGAATTGAATAATCATATGTTGGGCAAAGGTATGCTCATGACGGAATCATGTTATATTACTCTAGAGATTAATGTGTGAAAGATATCAACAATGGATGAAAGATGAAAAAAAAGAAAAAAAGAGGATAAAAGATGAAAAAAGAAAGAAAAAAGGGAAATGGATGGAAAAAAAAAGAGAAAAAGTGAAAAATGAAAAAAGAGAAAATAAAAAATATGAAAGATGAAATGAGGAAAAAAGAATACTCAAATTGAAAACCCGAAAGGGAAATTTGGGTAGACCAAACCTCTAAGTTGAAAGTTGGATGAACAATTCAAATATATAGAAGATCAAGACATCTAAAGATCTTTTAAAATTGGGGCAAAGTTTGATGAACTAAAAATGATTTTGACAATCAATGGAATGAGTTTTCAAAAAAGAATCTTGAATTAATGCTCAAAATTGTCTGAATATTCATTTGTCCCAATGACATACATCCAACTTGTGTCTTTCCCTCATTTGTTTTTGCACCAAGACTCGCTTTTCATTTATTGCTTTTCTCTTAATACACCTTCTGCTCTTTTGTTCTCACATCCCTAAAATGAATCGAGGAAATGTTTGATTGCATTGTGTTTGTCAAGAATTGAAATGATAATGAATGAATGAATATGTACTTAAAAGAGTCTTGCATTTCTTTAAAAAGAAATCCAATATGATAAAAAAAAATGAAGAGATCATAGAAACTTGAAAAGGATGATTTGAGATAACATGTGGTGTGATCAAATGATGAAAATGGTGATAGGTTGGTCAACAAATGAAGAGAGTGTAAAAACTTGAAAGTGTGATATGATCAAGTGATGAATACAAGGATGAATTGATCGATATGACTTGCAAGTTATGACTGAATGATGAAAATAATATGGATCAGTGGATAAAGTTTGTTTTGGAATGGTTAGGACTGAGAAACCTATGAGTGTGACCTACTGATGGATGATGAAATTTGTTTGGAATGGTTAATGCTGAGACACCTATGAGTAATGACCCAGTGATGGTGGATGAAACTTATTCTGAAATTTGTTAGTGCTGAGAAGCCTATGAATGGTGGTCAAATGATGATCGATTGATAAAAATTATTCCAAAGTATTGAGAAACTGAACAAGGAAGAAATACGAAATGGTGAAGTCTTGAAAGCCATATTACCACAATTATTTAAGACTTCATGACATCATTGACGTCCGTATTACATGCATCATGTCGGCATCATTGCTTGAATAGTACATGTAGATAATTTGATGAATTAAAACTTTGTTTGGATATACATGGCACTATGAGAATCTAGGTTGTTGCATTTGCATCATTAAGAAAGCATTTGGATATTTGGTCAAAACATTTATTCATGCAAATTTTTGAGTCACTTGAAAAACAAACTGTGAATACTTTGATGAGAATTTTTGAGTTCTCAAATGAGAATCTTTGGGTTTGAAAATGAGAATCTTTGAGGTGTGAAACCCTAAAGTTCATCGAATGTGAATCTTCAAACTAGAATGAAAAGTTTTAAACTTTTGGATGTGAATCTCCAAAATTCAAAGCTTCAAACTTAACTTTTGGATGCGAATCTCTAAATTTTTAAGTGAGAACCTTTGAACTTAGATGTGAAACTCTAAGTTGTGTTGCATGTGAGCCCTTGAACTCAAATAAGAAGCTTTGAACTTTTGGATGTGAATCTCCAAAATTCAAACAAAACAAAAATTCAGACTTTTAGGATGTGAATCCCAAGTTTTCCAAATATGGACCTTTTAATTCGAGTGAAAAGCCTTAAATGTTTGGATGTGAATCTCTAAAATTCAAAGGAGAATCTTTAAATGTTGGATGTGAGTCTTGAAAGTTGTAGATATGAATCTTGAGATCTTGCAAATTCAAATTTTTATGAAATTGAAATTTTGATAATCAAATTTTAGTAAATTCTTGTGGAGCTGGAAGGTTCTCGCGAATTTGAACCTTTGAATGTTGAACTCAAAATGTGAATCTTTGAGTTCCCATTACAAAATTCCTTCAGACGTGATCTATAACTCCTTTGGACATGATTGTCAATGAACAATTCACTTTTCCAAGTTATGGTGGCTCTGTTTAAAGGAGCAATTTATTTTCTCAAAATTTTGTTACCTCTGATTAGAGGAGCCATTTATTTTTTCAAAGTTGTTGAGCCTCTGCTTAGAAGAGCCATTTCTTTTTTCAAAGTTGTTGAGCCTCTGATTAGATGAGCTTTATTTATTTTCCAAAGTTGTTGAACCTCTGATTAGAGGAATTTTATTTATTTTTCAAAGTTATTGAACCTTTGATTAGAGGAGCTTTGTTTATTTTTCGAAAGTCGTTTAGAAAAGCTTAATCAAAATTTTAATTAAAAAAAAAAAGAAAAAAAAATATCAAGTTGAGTCTTAAATGGGTGTTTATGTCTTTGCACAATTCATGTTTCACAAAAAATGCGCAAAAAGGGACAACTATAGACACCCCATTTTGTTCGAAGTTTTCATCGATAAAAAGTTCGATACAAGCTCAATTGTAGAATTCTATTTATTTTAAATTTTATTTTGTATTTGTCATATTTATTTATTTATGTTATTTAGTTCTAGTTTAATTTCATCATTATCTAGTTATATTATTTTTGAAGCTTGGACTTAGTGGGAGGAAGTGAGTGGTAGTGATAGGGTTGGAGTGAGATTCATCTTGTGGAAGATAAATTTTGATTTTTTTTGATAACACAAACAGAATCACAATTGTTTTAAAATTCTCCTAAGTTTAGTCCTATAAATCAACAGAAGAATCAATTGGGGGAGATCAGAAAGAAATCACAAAAAAATCTAAAGATAAAAAACACGAAAGAAAATCAGTAGTGAAATAGAGATATTGGCATAGTTTGTGTTTAGAACAGCGACATGCAATAGACCATCGTGTAGAGTCACCAGCTGGTGGTAAGAAGCAAGGAAAGAAGTGCCTTGACTGCAAGTCTAAGAAAGAAAGAAGCAAACGAGAAAGGGAAAGAAGCAAACCAGAAAAGTAAAAGGATTTGATAAAGCCAACAAATTGATTTTGAAGAGATTTTAGTTCAAAAGCCCACATGCTCACAAGCTCCAATTCCCATTTTTGTGAAGAGTTTTGTTTATTTTCATCAATGATGTAGCAGAAGGCCAAAACAGAGGAGACGAAAAGGCAGTGGCAGTGGAGTTCACGACGATGAAGCCACAGCTGAAGGTGGAAGCACCAAAGGTAGTTGATGCAGTGCAATCCTACAAGACCGCATTCGATGCTATCGATAATAGCTGTACTCTTTACCCCAAGTGCAAGGCTGAGCAAGAGCTTCTTCATATCCTTTCTGTTCAGTTTGAGCTTGCTGGCTCTACCATTCTCGTATCTGACATCGCTGGTAACTCTGCTTCTGTGAAAAGTGAGAAAACTGGATGTGTGCTTTGCATCAAAACTGAGGACGTGGAAGCTGTTATAGCCAAAGTCGTGAGTGCTGGAGTCATCATAAAGGGCGACGACGTGTGCTGTGGTGGGCACGTGGGCAAGGACAAGGCTCCCTATGGATACAATTGGCTCATTTGCTCCCTTGCCAAGAATGTTACTGACATCCCTACACTGTTGGGATCTGGTTCTTTTTTTGCTTTTTATTTTGAAAATAGTATAGAAAACAGGTAGAGGAAGCTTATACCTGCCTATCTATGTTGGCCACATATGCAAGCTGATCAAGTTCGGGGCCTAAGTACCAAAAAAATTGGGGGGAAGTTTTGGAAGCACCACCGATCTCCTTCTGTTCGCTCTACATGCCATGCTATTATTAAACCATCTACCATGGTGCAAAAAAAATACAGAAAATAAAAAAGTTGAGGGGATATCAGAATGCTGTCTATTGTGCCATACTCGATCGCCCCGAGAGATATGTTATTACTGGTTCAGATGATCACCTTGTCAAAATTAGGTCTATGGAAACTGCATTTTGCTTGGCTAGTTGTCGTAGACATGAAGGTGACGTAACTGGCTGTTAGTTCAAATAATATTTTAATGGCATCTGCATCAAACAATTTTGTGATTCAAGTTTGGCGCTTGCCAGATAGGTTGCCAATTTTAGTTTTACGAGGGCATACTGGAGCTGTAACTGCCATTGCATTTAGTCCTAGGCCTTGCCTTTGCTTCCCAGCTTTAATCGTCATCTGATGATGGGACTTGCCAAATCTGAGATGCCAGATATTCACATTATAACCCACGTATGTACCTGTCAAAGCCTTCTAAAGTTGCTATTATCATGAGGAGCAATTTTCCATCTAATAATGGATCGAGACAAGCGAAATCAGTTTTTGAGTCATTCCAACTTTTCTGTATCTGAAGTCGAGTCACGCTAACTCTCCAACTGAATCATTTTTTTTTGTTTATTTATTTTTAAGAGTATTTTTGCAAGAATAAAGTTAAAAATATATAAAAATAAAAAAATTTGAAGAAAAGTTGAAAGTATCAATTTTTCTTGAAAATAATTCTTCAAAAAAATATTTTTGAGAAAAAGTTGAAAGTATCAATTTTCCTTGAAAATAAGCTTTCTAAAAAATATTTTTGAGAAAAAGTTGAAAGTATCAATTTTCCTTGAAAATAAGTTTTTTCTAAAAAATATTTTCGAAAAAAAGTTGAAAGTATCAATTTTCCTTGTACAAAAGCAATGAATTTTTGAAGAGAAAAGAGTTTATATCTAAAGCAATCATTTTTTTCCTTTTTATTTTCTTGAATTTTCTTTAATGTTAAATAATTCAATGATGGAACTTCTGTAAGTGAAACAGTAGTTTTCTTGCATACTCTTGAGGTGAGAAAATTTTTTCAATTTTTTACTAAAAGTATTAGAGTCAATTGAGAATAATTTCTAATAATTAATTACTTGATAAATTTTTAAGGCTTATTGGATAACACAAAATTAAGCTGGTACCATCTTTCAATGAGCGTTGTGAGGGTGCTATAACTTTTCTCACACATAATTGAACTCCCGAATCATGTTCTGGTTAGTAGATCCGAACCTATTCTTTTAAGCTTAGGTGTTCCTTAAAAGGATAGATTCCTTAGGTGACCAATCGCACATAGATAAAAAAGATTGGTGACGACTCCTTCAAGCCAATGTCTAGCGATAAATCACCTGATCTAGATGTTATGACATGAGCTTTTCCTTCTTTCTTCTTGGGTGGGCCATTTTTTTGCATTGGTCATCTCTCTTCCATCTAATTTACCATTCTTAATGGCGTTTTTAATCATCTCACTTGATATAAACATGTCAGAAAAATTTTTCGTAGCATTTCCTATTAATTTTTCATAATAGGGGGCTTGAGTGTACTTACAAAAAGCACTATCACCTCTTTCTCTATGAGGGCTGGTTGAACTTGAGAAGCAGTATCTCTCTATCTTTGAGCATATTGCTTGAAACTTTCTGTGGTTTTCTTTTTCATACTTTGTAAGGAGAGGCGGTCACGTGCTAAGTCCATTATGTGTCTATATTGGGTTACAAATGCTTTTGCCAAATTGTTCCAAAACGGATATGGGCTCGATCTAACTGCACGTACCATCTTGTCATGGAGCCTGAAAGGCTATCTTAAAAGACATGTATCACAGTTTCTTATCATGAGCATGGGTGACCATTTTGCTGCAATACATGGTAACATAGTTACCAAGCATTTAGTCCCATCATATTGTTCAAATTTAGCGACTTTAAACTTCGGTGGGATAACCACATCTGGGACTAAACATAGTTAGGCCGTATCCATAGAGCCGAAATAATCCATACCTTCAATGGCTTGAACTTTTTCTTCCAAAATGTTCATCTTTTGCTAGGAGCTTGACTCTTCTATTACCTTAGAGGTTTTTACTTCCATCATCTCCTTCTCCTAAAGGTCATCAAAATAGGGGACTTTAATTGGTTCTATTCTCTTTTCCCCAAAGGTAGGGTTAGGGTAACTATGACAGGGCACCTCAGGATATGTGTAAGCATATGTTTCAAAAAATGGCATGGGTGGGCCTGTGTCTCCTGAGAAGATTGACCTTGGTTTAGACCAAACCTATGAGGGTATAAATGATCCATAATTTTTTATCTTTTATTCAGATTGAGGGTTTCTTCTACTATCTTACCTTATCCAATTTTTTCAACATTTCCATCATTTTCATCAACTCTTTTTTTATTCTTTTTGAGCTTTTTCGATCTTATCCATATGGGTATTTTGTTCCTATTCCATTTGCCTTGCTCCCAATCGAGTGTAGACACCAAATTTTGTTCGAGTCTACTAGATTAATTTTTATTTTCAAGTTTTGTTTATTAATATTTTTGATATTATTATAAAAATATAATAATTAAAAAAAACAAAACAAAAACAACAAAAATATAAACAGAAAAAATAGAAGATTGGGGTACTAGCCACCCACCCCTCTGATCACCCATACCTTGCTAGCATTGCCACCCCTGTTCTATCCCCTCACCATACCTTACAAACCCTGTTCACCCCCTGTTTACCAGAGCCAAAGCTTTAGACACTTAAAAGGCTAGCCCCTTTAAGGCACCAGACCTTTCCCGTCAGACAGACGACCCCTCGATCCCCTGGAGCCCTATGTTCAACCATCAATGACTAAGCACCGATCTTTTTTCTCCCTTCACTCATACACAAACATCCTTGAAAGCCTTTGTGTTCTACCCAAGGACCAACCCCCATCAAAGCCCTCACACCCATAAACCCCAGCTCTCCCTTACACAAAAAAGTCTTAGGTTCCTGTAATGTTTCTAGCCCTAAAACACACTACCCTAACATCACCCAACATCCTAAAAAGGTCCCATGCCCCCTACAACCAACCACAAAAAAATCCACAAAAAAATAACAAACAAAAAACATAATCCTCTCCAAATCAGCGAGGAACCCAATGCCAAGCCACCTGCAAAAAATAAAAAAATTCGTCAATTTTTTTTAAAGGAGACCGAAAGCTTCAACCCTTGATTTATGCCGATTATGGTTGTTTATGGCAAAATAGACATCGGATCTGAAAAGATCACATTAAGGTGAACGTTTGGAAATTTTTTTGTGTTTTTCAACCATTGGCAACCACTGGCGGTGACCCAGGTGGTGGCCGGCATGACGGCACGAACATCGACGATCGAATGCTGCCAGAGCCCTTGGAGCTCTCTCTTGAGCTTTGAAAACGTTTTTTGGGCAGAAAGGTTAAAATGAGCTAAAAAAAGTGGGTTTTATATAGAAAGCTAAAGCCCAAAACGACATTGTTTTAGGCAAAAGATGATCCGCGCATGGACCTAGATCCGATCTGAGATCCGCATAAACCGACCTAGTGACCCGCTTCAGCTAACCTTTAACCAATCTAGACGAACCATCAGTGAATCAGTTTGAACTAGTCTGAATCGTTGAACTGCTGAACCAACCGTCGATCGAACCATTGACATGTCCGCTTTAGGTATTTTTTATTTTTTGATTTTTTAAAATTTTTGATATGTTATTATTTTTGTTATTTTGAGTTTTATTTTTAATATTCATGCATGATAATTTTTTTAAATTTGTCAAAATAAATATTTGATTGTTTTTAATAATAATAAAATGAAAACAACTAGGATAATAACTAAAAATATATATTAAAAATGTTTAAAAAATAATAATAATAATAATCCAATAATAATAATAGAATAATAAATTTTTTTATTTTCCCTATCTAGATGTTGGGGGGAATAAATATATATATAATTTTGTCTTGACATTAAGAAATTATATAAAAAAGTTTTGAAAGGTAATAATAATAATAATTAACAATAATAACAATAAATTTTCATAAAACAAATATATGAAAAATTTTAATTAATTTTCAAAAATTATAAAAATCAAACTTGCTTTGAAAATCCGCCTAGATGTTGGAGATTTTTAGAGATATTCGTATTTTTTTAATTAAAAAATCTAAACTCTAAAACCTTAACCCTAAAATCAAAAATCAAAACCCTAAACCCTAAAATCTCAAACCTTAAGATCGAAACCCTAAACCCTTCAAACCTTAAAATCACAACCGCAAACCTTAAACCCTAAAAATAAAACTTTAAAACTAGGCCCTAAACCCTTAAAACCCTAAAACTAAAACCCTAAACATCAAACCCTAAATCCTTAACCCTTAAATTGAAACTCTAAAATCTCAAACCCTAAAATAAAAAATCCAAAACCCCAAAATTTGAAACCTTAACCTTTAAAACCTCGACCTAAGCTCTAAATAAGACCATCCCAAAATCCTAAAGACATGTATAAAAATCTCGAAATAATTTATTCTCAAATGCTGCCTAGACGATGAGATATTTAAGAAACTTTATTTCATTAAGTTTTCATGCTAGTCTTTAATTTTCTTTAATAATAAAATTATATGCTTTAATAAAAAAAGGTACTAATAACATGAAATCTTAAATATAAATGGTCGCACTTAAGCTCTATCTAGATATTGAAGAATCAATGTGGTTTCAATATATTTAAGAATCCATTTTTAAATTACATTTCATTATCTTGCATAATATACATTAGCATGCTCACATCATTATATAATTGTTGGCATTCATTTTACATTTCTTTGTCTTTAATTTTTACTTGCTATCTAATAATACTATCATTTACTTTTTCACACAAATTTTTTTTTATTTACTTACTTTTAAAATTGTGATATAATAAAATAAAACGAAAATAATATTTGGAAAGAAATAATTCTCGGTGTTCTGCTTAGATGTTGGAGAGTCACCAACAATTATCTTCGACAAAGAGTGTTATTTTTATTTTAAAGAGTATTCTGTTAAATCTTAAGTGAAAAAAGTTATTTTAAATTCTCTCTAGATTTTGGAGAATTTTAAGATAATTCTTTAACTTAAAGATTTTCTCAATATTCCTAAATAAAGAGTTTTAACAAAAATTTATTTTTAAATAAAGGGGATTATTATTAAATTTCAAATCAAAACCATTTCATCCAACACCGAAAATAGCGCATGATTAAATTGTACCAATTTATGGGCATTGTGGGAGTACTAATCATTCCCTATGTGTAATCGACTCTCGGACCCAACCTGATTTTCCTGGATTGAAGTTTATCTTTTTGATAAATTTTAAACCTGCTTTTATAGTATTATTAAAAAGATAAAACTTTTGGGTGGCCAATCACACCCTAAAAAAGAT